TGTCCGCAGTCCGCTGTGTCGCAAATCCCATCAAACTTGCAAGACTTGTTATGGAAAAGGTATACGTGACTAAGGCACCGTTCCCCTGAGGAACTGTCACTGCCATATGTCAGTGACTAAAAGGGGGCTGACTGCAGGAAAGTCCTTGAGATCACTCTTCTCCTAAAATTGTATGAAAGAACAAAAATAAACCAGGATTCTGACCCCGTTGATGATGTAATTTGACTCATGATCACTTGACTGCTGATTACAGTTTTTATGTTAGCTTCCTGTGTATTCTTCAGCCTTCTCTCAACACATGTAACATAACACATACAAACTGAAAAGACCAACTGCTGAAATAGCATGTGTTAAATACAAATGGATTAAGTTCTCTAAATTTAAGATCATATGTAAGTTGAATTCCTAGTAATATTCCATCATTTGGGGGGTTTTTTGAAAATACAAAAACTCAGAGAGCTGGGCTTTTTCAACATTCAGAAAAGCAAGCCAGTAGAATTTGCATTTTTGAGGCTTGGTACCCAGAGAGAATAGTAATTTCCACACGGTTGGAACAGTTTAAAGATTTTAACTTTTCAAAAAACTAACTACTTTCCTATCTCTTTCTGGCTCAAGACACCTCACTGCTTTCTGACTGACCAAGGTGCAGCGAAATTTGCAGCGGCCATGGGGCTCCCAGCAGTTCCTGGAGAGCAGCTGATAACAGAGAGAAACATAAAACGCCTAGAAAAAGAAAAGCATGAGAAAGGGGCTCAGAAGTCAGACCATCAAAAGTAAGTGTCGTCTGGGGCTCACATTCTGGGGAGTTATTTGTGATTATCCACTTCTTAATAAAAGACAAAAATCACTTGGTAGTTTCAGTTTCTGTACAAAACAGTTCACACTAAATAGTGGGAAAACTGCTCTTTTGATTTTGAAATTTAACCTCATTTATTACTTCTGTGAATAGTAACTCAAGCTACCAGAGCTCCTTCTCCAGCATGAGTTAACAGGTGGATGCTGTGTATTGCTACATTAATTACCCGGATGCTTCTGGGTCAGTTTGTCATCTGAAGGAGACTACACAGGTCTCTGTGACCTCGACTCTTACACAGTGCATAGAAGTCAGTACAGCTCTTAGAAGTGAATTAATCATGGGTTCTGAGTTATAGTTTTCTGACTCCCAAATAAAATCCCCCTTCTTTAAAGCAAAATTTCAAAAATAAAATCTGAATGTGACCTGGAGGTTTATAATGGAACGTAGTCTATTAACTCTGCACACTCTTCCCGATTTGTAATGTTTAACCAGAGGTGTACTTTAGTATCACCTAAGGAGCTTTTTCAAAATACACACATCTGAACTCTTTTCCTAAAGAATCTAACTCAGTAGATCTGAGGAGGGAGGCCATGTAGGTCTGTTAGAAGAAAGTTTCCCAGGTAATTCTGAGGTGTCCCCGGGTTAAGATCTGTTTTACAAGATTGGCCACATGCTGGTAGCCGTTGGTCATGCTCACCAAGTGTGCTGTTGTGTCTGTAGCTGAAGTCTCAGGAACGAGGTTGCTTTATCAATGGTTGATGTACATTTTAATAGATGTCGACACATTGCTTTCCAAAAACTCGACAACAACGCGCGTCTCCACCAGCCAGTACTGCTCTTTGGTAGAAGCAAGAGGGGCTCCTGCCCTGGGCCCTGCGCTTTAGGGGAACCTCATGTCACAAACACACAAAACAGTTGGTTTACTGCAGATACACAGCACCTCTGTCTATCGCTCAGAAGTGGCACAGCATCACCCTCGTCATCCGCTCTGTGACTAATATCGTTCAGCCCCCAGGGAAGTGCTTCTCTGCATTTCTTGCTCTATGTCTTGGAAGTAAAGGCCACCTGAGTCTACAGGCGTGTGGATTATGCTACTGCTGACGTCAAAAATGGACACTGCTGTGGAGTGTGGGGAAGCGTTGAACAGCAGAACGCCTTAGGTAAGAGAAAAAGGCAGATTAGTAACTTGTCAAATAAATTCTTACGTAACAAAGTATTGTTTCCCAGGAGTGCCCAGTGCCCTCCTTCTCTCCTGTCTCCACGCTTCTGTTTGGTCCTGCAATTACTCATAAATCAGCACGGAGTCTGCAGGACCTGCACATGAGGGCTGATTCCTGCTATTCTTAGATTTGTGTGCACGTCGGTCTAGACCAGCACCATCCGATAGAAATATGAGAGCCACATATGTAGTTGAACATTTTCTGGTGGCCACATTTTAAAAAAGTAAAAAGAAAGTGATGTTAATAATATATTTAACCCAAAATATTATCATTTCAACATATGATCAATATAAGAAATTATTTATGTTTCCATGTTTTGGCTATTGTAAATAGTGCTGCTGTGAACATTGGGGTGCAGAGATATTTTACATTCTTTCATGCTAAATCTTCAAAATCTGATGTGTCTTTCACACTGACAGCACGTCTTGCTGTGGACTGCCCACATTTCCAGGGCTCAGCGGCCACAGGCAGTTAGTGGCCGCTGTATCGGAAGCACAGGTCTAAACAGAACATGCGTGAAGAACCCCTTCTTATGTCAGCAACTAAATGGACACAATATTAGAATTATGGATGATTTTACTTTTATAAAAATACTTAAGATTGAGTTAAACTTTCAAAAATGTTGAGATTTTTAGCTTTTAAGTAATGTTTCTTTAAAATGTTATATTAATTATAATTCATGTTTAGACTTTAATATTAATAGATGATTTTGTATATTTTAGAAAAAACTAACTTTTGAAATTATATCTTCAAATTACTTTTATTCTCTTTTTTGGATTTGCTCTTAATTTTGATGAAAATATATTCTAATTTTGTACACTGTCAGTATAGTTACATTTTTACTTTTTAATTCCTAGATGAGTACAAGTCAAGATTTTGATAGAAGAATACTAAAGTGGAATTCACAAAAGGAAAAAAACGCTAAACGGAAAAAAGAAGTAAGAAATCTTCAAAGAAACAGTCTGCTTTAAAAGTAAGCAGCCTTCTCCCAGGATGACCCACGTAAAATTCAGAACATTATAAGTTCCTTGTTCCATGAAGATTGAATTACTTATCAGAACAATGAAAATTAGTAGGAATATTATTCTCACCAAATCCACAGCTTGAATAATTCAGATGAAGTCCCTACAACTTCACGTTCTTTACTAAAGGAAGATTTAATTGCTAATCACAAAGAATCGTTCACCGAAAAAGGACGCATGCAGGTATTAGAATTGGGTGGAAACGGCTGAATAAACAGTAGACAGTTGATCACCGGAGAAGATAAAAGAAAATATTGATGTAATGTTCATGAAGGAATAATAGTATTTGGCCAAGCATAATGGTGCTTTCAATGGTACTGTCAACACAATGTTTACAGAAAACAATAGGAAATTTCTAGATTTGTGAAAATTAGTTCAAAATTTGATAAAATGCCAAACATGTAGTTAGGGGAAAACAAAAACGAATGATTACTATCTAGGATAGAGAATTCAAATAGGTTAATTTAATGTGCAGTAAAGCAAGAGCTGAAATCATATCTAAAATTTTTAACAATTCCGTTCAGCTAGAATGTGCCATGGTCAGAAGACATGTTGAAAAGCTGGCATTTAAAAGGCAGGCCTGTGATAATGGAGCTAATGTGGAGGGTATGTAAAAGCTGTGGGAACACGAAGTCTGGCCAAGAATCCAGAAGCATTCTACGTGACATGCAGAGCCCAGTGGATCCGTCTCTAGGAGTCATGCCCTCCGCTGTCCAGCACGGATGCTGTGGGACAGAGGCGGGTCCTCTGCAAGACTCTCCAGGTGTGCCCGAGGTGGAGCGGCTTCACTAGACTCACATCCGACCTCATAACAGATCTCAGACGTGTGGTGGGAATACCGCTAAATGCTCTTAAGGTGATTAGGTTGAATTCAGATAACAAGAGTCCAGCACAACCACAGAAGTTCCTCAAAGAGCAAATACAGACTTTAACAGAAGGTGAAATTAATTTTGAATTTGCGCTTAGTATGAACTGTTCCTTTCTATTGACAAGCTTAAAAGCTTTTAAAAAAAAATCCAAGTTTGGCTATTTCACTCTTTAAAGAATTTTTTAAAATTTTTTTAAGTATAGAGAAATAAAACCAAAAGTACATGTGAAATATGCAAGAAAAATGACATCCTCATAAAATGTGAAGAAATTGAAACAAGGAAACAAATATTTGCCTAACTTGAAGGAAAAGATTCATGCACAAATGATCCTGAAACCAGTTTCTATAGAGGCAGTTGTTCTGTTCACGATAAATCAAAATGTAAGTATCATTTGGAGAAAGATTTGAACAAACTCGAGCAACACACTCCTATTTTCAGTTTTCTTTATAATATACCATCGTTGAAATTTGAAAGAAGATTTTTAGATATTCTGCATGGTCCTGACACTGGTTAAGAGATGACAAAAATGCCTATAATTGATTGTGATTCAAATGATCAAATTAAAATATTTAGTAACACCTTCTGTGATTATAATTTATCGTACGTAACCCCACACAGCATTTGCGTGCAGTAATGAAAAAATCGGGGTTCATTTCCAAATCTCAGCATGAAGAGTTTTATATATAATTCCCGTTGCTACTGCCTTAGCAGAGTGAAGCTTCTCCAAGTTAAAATTGATTAAAAGCTTGTTAAGAACTATTCGGACTGAAGAAAGGTTGTTATTTGGCACTTTGTCAATAGAAAGCATGTTGATCATAGAACGTGATCAGTTCTTCCTGAAATGAAGGGAGGAAAATTAATTTTATGGAATAAACACATGATCCTTTATGAGTTGGACATGTGTCTGTGTGATTTTCCCCACTCGTTCAGCCATCACCAGCTGATCAGCATAGGATCCCGACTTGCATGATGATAATTAAATTGTCATCATTGGTAATTTGTCAGCTTTTAATCAAATGAGAACCATAGCTTTGCTTTTCAAGATACATTTATCACGGTGGCAGGAGAGAACATATTTATTCTAAATACTAAGTGTGATGTGTGGGCCTCCATTTGCCTTCATATTCTTGCCTCAACCCCTTGCAGGTGTGGGGGTGCTGCCACCAGCTGCCCCCTGGGCACCTCTTTCCTTACTTAGTGGGAGGTGGGAGCATCACTGTGGTCGCTCCCCCCAGTGACCACCGGATTGGGTACTTTTGTTGGTAGGCCATTCTTTTCCGGGAATTTGTCTATTTTTGATCATTTTTTTCTCTTTAGTTATTCTGTCCCCTTCTTATCAATCTTAAGGCTCTCGGCTAAAAAAAATCCAAAACCTGTTGTTTTTATCTTGGTTTTACTTTGCTTATAGGTATTTTTGCCATGTGAAAGTCTTCTCTCTTTTTTTGTAATCAAATAAACAGTAGTCTCCCTCTCTTGTATAGTCTGTAGGAGCAGAAACTTAGAAGGTATCCCCGCCCTGAGACATGCAGCCGCCCAGATTTTCTTGAAGGATTTTGTTTTGTGTTTTTTATTTAGGTCCTTAGCTGTCCACCTTGGCTTTTGTGAATGATGGAAGGTAGGGCTCCTGTCTTCTTTAAATAGAATTCTAGTCCCTTGAATGCCAGGCTCCGTTCAGCTATGATTCAGCCTCCCCGTGTGATTGCCTAACAGGTCCCTCAAGCTTGTGTCCAGAACTAGCCACCCTACCCTCCACACACCCCAGCAGCAACACAGAAACCTACCCCTGCGAGCCTTCCACCTTTCAGTAAGTGTTTCTTGTTCCCTTTCATTTCCTGAGGCCACAAGCCTTAGATTTCTCTCTCTCACACCCAGTTCACCTGCAGATTCTACCAGCTCTGCCTTCAAAATGTCCCGGGTCCAGCCCACTCCTCCCCCTCCCCTCTGACACCACTCTGACACAGACCGCTGCCTCCCAAGCTCCTAACTGGTCTCCGTTTCCACTCTCATCTCCCTCAGTCTGCACCCAACAGCCAGAATGATTCTTTTAAGACGGACTTTCGTAGACGTATAGCGCACACCGCGAGTGCGTGCATAGATCCAATATGCAGCCCTTGGGGAATTTTCGCAGAGTGGACGCACCGTGTGATCAGCACCCAGAGCAAGACCCTCGAACAGAGCCAGACCCCCGTTCCCTGCCCTCCCCGCAAGGCAGCCACTCCCGGCTTCCAACACCGTGGATTAGCAGTGCCTGTTTTTGGACGTTACCTGAGTGGGACCATGTACTCCGTGCTTTTTCGGCTGCCTCCTCTCACTGTATTTCTGAGAGCCGCCCCTTTGCCTCGTGTGGCAGTAGGTCGTCCCCCGCGCGTCACAGCTTATTTACTCCGGTGACGTTTGTGTCGTTTGTGGTTTGCTGTTGCTACAAATAGTGCTGCTTGTGAGCACTTTGTACACTTTCTTGGTGAAACCATCTCCACGTTTCTGTTGGACAGAGATGGGGGAGCGAAACTGCCGAGTCGGCTGGAGTGGACCCTGTGGGTGGTCTCCCCGAGGGTCACACCGCCTGCGCCTCTGCACTCACACTTGGTAGCAGGTCCTTTTCGCTTCAGCCATGCCGCGCAGGGGTAGTGGTAAGAGTGATTGTTTTTAAAACTTAACCCGGATCGTGGCGCATCTCAGCTCAAGCCCTCCAGTGTCTTCCCACCTGCTCAGACTAAAAGCCCTACCAGTGGCCTGTAAGGAGGATGACCGAGGTGCAGAGTATAACGCAGGCAGGCCTGCTTTGCCATTTCCGTGAGTCGGGAATGCTGGAGTCGAAGTGTGTCGCGTGTGCCATGAACATACAGTATGCGAATGTAAGTGGTATTAGGCTGCACTGTCCCCTCTGGGAGTGCCTCTCAGCTTCAGCCTGACACTTTTCCTGTTTCTCTTTGGCAGAAGCTTGGGGACCGTGGGCGCTGTCGCCGTGGACTGCAGAGGAAACGTGGCTTATGCGACCTCCACAGGGGGCATCGTCAACAAGCTGGCGGGCCGCGTCGGGGACACGCCGTGCATAGGTGGGCTTGAGGGGTGGATGCCTGCCCTCCGCCCATCGTCTCGTCCTCGTTTTCTGGTCCCTGCCCCTCCTCCCTGCTTCCTTCATTTCCTTCCTCCTCCTGAAGGTGGCAGTTTCAGAATTTCTGGGAGTGGCGGGGGGTGGAGGGGGTTGTCCAGGGCACATGGAGAAGGTGTCTGTGTCCAGCAGGCACCTGTTACCTGGGTGCTGTCTTTTGGGGGTGATTGGGAGGGAGGTGGAGAAGGGGTGCTGAGTTTGGCTCAACACCCCGCAGTGCCTCTTTCTCTCCAGCCCCAGTTTTAGGACCTGCAGACTATTCCCAGAGGGTTAAGTACACAAACCTCTTCGCAGGCATGGGCTCAAACGAGCAAACTAAGCAAGCTGAGAGTTTAAGTTTGCAGCTGTTAGAGCTGCGTGGCCTGAGAGGGACTCACCACTGCTTCTGAGATAGTACACAGTGAAGTGTGCTTTGCATGAACCTTATCTAATTCCCAGGAGAGAGAGAGAGAGAGTGTGTGTGTGTGTGTGTGTGTGTGTGTATGAGACCCTGTGCAGTCTGGGCAGATGTGCTCTGGGGCAAAGGAGGGGCTGACCTGGTCTGCCTCGCGGGGGCGCCCTCCATCCCCCCATCTCAGGTTATTCACCCAGCGCTCACTAGCTCACCGTGGAGTGACACCTCAGCGCTCTTGGGATTGAACATCTATGTAGCATTAGGCTTGGGACGTGTGTTTAAATTTCTTGACTGTTGCCGCTCAGTTAGAACCAACCACCTTCCTTGAGCAGGATCTGGAGGTTATGCTGACAATGACATTGGAGCCATTTCCACGACGGGACACGGGGAAAGCATCCTGAAGGTGAACCTGGCCAGACTCACGCTCTTCCACGTGGAACAGGGTACGTGGAACAAGGTCATTCTGTCCGAGGACGAGGAAGCAGAAGCTGTTTACAGATAGGTGGGGAAGGAGAAGGGAGCCCTTTCCTGTTTGCTACAGATGTTGCTTTCGGGTTAACCTTCCACTCGGGTCTGGAAAGGAGAGCGTGTGGAGTACTCTCAGGGGGCTGTGGAGACCCGGAGCCCGGGTGTGGGAGAAAGGGCAGCTCCACGCAGGGCAAGGAGGGCCTTGTAGGGTGAAGAGCCTTCTCCGAGGCATTCAAATAGAAATCATTTACCAAGAATCTCTGTTCATTCACTTTGGTTTTTCCCATCAGATTCCTTTCAATAACTTGTATTGTTTCTCAACCTCTCCTTGTTTTTAGGAAAGACGTTAGAAGAGGCTGCGGACATGTCGTTGGGTTATATGAAGTCAAAGGTCAAAGGTGTCGGTGGCGTCATCCTGGTCAACAAAGCAGGAGACTGGGCGGCAAAGTGGACCTCCACGTCCATGCCCTGGGCGGCCGCGAAGGACGGCAGGCTGCACTCTGGAATCGACCTTGGCGAGACCAACGTCACTGACCTGCCCTAAGCCCCCGGGAGACTGCGTTCTAGATGCTAGCTTGGAGGGAAAGCACGCTTGCCTGGTGTCGAGATCTAGCTTAATCAATTAGATCTAGAAATGGAAAAATCCTATGGTCTGTCACTTGTTTTGTTGCCTTGATCAGTGTTTGGTTGGGGGCGGATTCCGAAGTGATATGAGAAATGCCCACATTAAGATCAAAATGAGAGTAGTGAAGATGGCACACCCCGCAGAGCCTTCCTCGTGAGTGGGCCACAGTGTCTTAGGTTAGAAAGAAGAAACAGCGTGATCTCAACAGGACAGAAGCAACCTCGGTGCAGGGAGTGCCTTTTGGAATTGGGTGGCCCACCACAGTGATGGAGGCTGCTGGCTGGAAGGTGTGGGGGTCCAGAGGACAGCAGTGCCCCCGGCAGGACCCAGTGCAGGGGCGAGGTGGGGAGGAATGAGCCAGTGGAGGAAGCAGAGGTGAGGTGGGAGCAGCAGAGCTCAGTTCCGAGTCAGAAGAACATTGAGTAAAAGAACCTCTGAGGGACAAACTGATTTCTCAAAGAAAGCTCAGATCTTCTCTGACTTACTAATAGAGACATGTTTCCAGATACTTTGAAAGGCCCCTCTGGTAACCCACGGCTCTGATCGACAGATGAAGGGGCCTCAGGATGACTCTGGAGCTCCTTTAAGTCCGAGGGTTTTCTTGGGCTCACACACAAGCCCGCTCGCCGCGTGTTTCCCACCAGCCAGCCTGGCCGACCAAGGCCAGCCTCCGCCTGCCTGGCCCTCTGGGCCCTCGCGTAGCGAGTGGCAGGGCTCCTGGCCGCTCAGCCTCTCCTGCGACCAGGAAGGGCCAGGCACTGCTGAGATGAGCTGACTTACTGCTGTCCATCCTGTCCAGCGCCGTGGGTTCCCCCAGCTGAGCTGGGTGTGCAGCGCGGTCAGCCTGGTGAAGAAAGTGACTCCCTGGTGGAGGTGTTCCTGTTAACCCCCTTACACTGGAAATGGTATTTTTGCTGTGACATTTCTGCCCAGTTTTTTGGTCTGTCAGGGCTTACCTTCTCTCTGGAAAGAAATTGCTTCACTTTAAATTCCATGTGCCGCTAATAAAATGTATTTTGAAAAAATAACAGTGTGGTTAGGAGTCACTTGGCAAAGACCGGAATGTACTACGAACAAGCTCCCTTGGTCCATCAGGTAAACTCGTTAAGGAGAGCTTCCGGCACAAGGGTGGTGTGTGATGTGATGAGACGTCCTGCCTCGTGGAGTATGTTGGAGAGTTTTACGGAAGAAGTGCGTTTTTTCCGGCTGGGTTATGGAAGAAGCCTCACCACCACTGCGGGACTCAGTGGGACGGACGGACCAGTCTTCTCACCGTTCTCTGCACCAGGCGGGCGGGCTGTCCCAGCCCCGTCCCCTGGCCTCCCCTGCACCCGCGTCAGCTATCTGAGCCCGGGAGAAGGAGGTGGCACCTGGAGTCAGAAGGGAGTTTGAACCCTGCTTCCCACTACAACCTGGGTGACCCCGGGCAAGCTAATGTCTGAGGATTTTGTCATCTCTAAAACAGATTACTATGGCAATTAAATGAAAATAAAGGGCAACTGCTCGGTGTTTATCCTCGGATCCTCTGAACGTAGAGACCCTGTGGCCAGGCCCAGGAGGGGGCGGGTGTGATTATGTCCTTGGAAACCTCCGTCTGCAGCAACCGTCCTCTAGAAACGGGTTTTGTTGGCAGGTGTGTTCGTTTGCCAGGGCTGCCAGCAATAAGATAGCACAGGCAGTGGCTCACACAACGGACATGTGGTTTCTCACGGTTCTGGAGGCCAGAGGCCCGAGATCCAGGTGTCAGTGGGGTGGATTCTCCGGAGGCAGCTGCCCTTGACCTGCACGTGGCTGCCTTCTCACCGCGTCCTCACGTGGTCTTTTTTTCATACACGTCTGTGGCCAAACTGCCTCCTGTAAGGACACCGGTCAGGTGGATCAGGGCCACCCCAACAGCCTCGTTTTCTCTCCAGCGCCTCTTCAAAGGCCCTATCTCCAAACACCTGGGGGTTAGGGCTTCCGCATGGGAGTTCTGAGGGGACACAGTTCAGCCCCCAGCAGGAGGCACAGCAGAACTACACTCGGGGTTGGGCAGGAAGAGACTGGCGAAGTCAGATCACTAAGCAGATAAGGAAGAAGGAAGCAGTGGGGAGGGAGGCCTGGCTTTGCGCTTATCCGTTCACAAGGGAAGTGGCTCTAGTCACGAGAGGCTGCTGGGAGGCTCAGCTCCGGCCACCCGACCCCGTTGGACGGCAGCCCCTCTGTGCAAGCCCTCAGACCTCGGCTCTGTGAAGGGCCACCTCCGCTAGCCCAGGATTCTGTATGTGGAGACCACACAGGGGTCTTCTTGCCCACACATTGTCCAGTGGCAGCCCCCTTCTGTCCAACACACAGAGGAGCGGGACAGGACCTGAAATGACCGCAGCTGTTACCACTTCTTACCACAAGAGGGCAGCAAACCATGCAGTGTCCACCCGTTCCTGCAGCTCCAGGCGGGTTGACAACTCGACTTTGGATTAAAACAATCTGCTCTGAAAGTTTGGAATCAAAGAGGGGTTCCTGTCCCTGACCTTCATTTTCATCTAAATTCTACAATTTATTTTAGAGCACAGTTGTCAAAAAAAAACATACTAGCAAATGCCCCACAGAACCCATCAAAATTAGCCACGTCTCTGACTCTTAAAACAACGAAGGCTGCTCTGCACCGGCTGCCAGGTGCCAGGCCCGTGGCGAGCCCGCCGGGCAGCCCCAGCCTCGGCCCTCAGCAGCTGCTTCCAGCCGGGAAGACAGATCTGTCATATTTGGCCTGAACTGGCAAAATGGTGGGATCACAAGGCGCATAATGGGGGCCCAGAGGCGGGAGTGGGTTTCTGCCCCGGGACAGCTCGGCCCGCCCGCGCAGCTGGAAGGGACAGTCCTGGAAGGAACGGCCTTAAACTTGTAGCTGTTGGACAACAAATTTTTTTTTTCAAATAATGTCTTTTCTAGATGTATTCTTCTCCAGCAAAGAGAGATTATAGACTCTGAGGGCAAAAGGAGGGTGGAACATGCTGTGTCCCTGTCTTCCAAGTGGGTGGCATGGGGAAGCCATCAGGGACACCGTCCTTCCTGCTCCACCACCGGCTGCCTTCACCCCTGCACAGAACCATCACTGCAGCTGGTGGGGAGCACGGGAGTGTCCCCGCAGAGCTTCCAGCCAAGGAGAGTGCAGTGCCCTTCCTCCTCCTCCTGCTCAGTGTAGGAGTGACCCGGGAAGGAACGGGGCTGAAGGACCAAGGCAAAACCAGGTCTAGGAATGAGGTCTGGAAGGGGTGTGGGTGCCCAGCAGTGGTTCCATCCAAAGCACAGATACCATTAGATGGGCAGGTAGCCCTACCTCCCCCGCCCCACACACACGCACTCAGATGAGTTGAGCCACTGTCACACAGCTCGTCCCCTGTGAGAGGTTAATGTGAATGGGGAGGCACAGGGACAACTCGGCCCTTTTGGAAGATGAAATAAGGCCCAGAGAAACTGGAGTTTCCCATCTACTCCAGTTAAATGGAAGTTTATCTCAGCCTTCCCCCTCCCAAATCCTCTGTCCCTGAGTGATGGTCCTTACTACATCCCTCGTGGTACCCGGCACCCACCAAGCCTCAGGTGAGAAGCAGGAAAGAACAGCACTTGTAATGACTTTACCCTTCAAATTCTGCTTCCCACCCACCCACCCACTATTAAGGTGGAATTGGCGGTAGAGCGCATGCTTAGCATGCATGAGTTCCTGGGTTCAATTCCCAGTACCTCCTCTAAAAGTATATCGATAAATAAACCTAATTACCTGCCCCGAACCAAAAAAATTAAAAGGTGGATTTGGATTTTCATATAGTAAGAGGTTTGGGCCAGGAGGGACGGGGTTGGTAGAGGAGATCACGCTGGGGTTCTTTTTTTTTTTTTTTTAGAGCACTGATCATCTCAGAGTTAACTCTGTTTTTCGCTCTGCAATTACCAGCACTTTCTGGATCCTGTGCCCAACTCGGATGGGGTTTGGGTGCTAAACTATGGCTGGGAGCAAAGGGGAAGGAAGATCAGTTCTTCCCATCCTGTAGACCTTGGCTCCAAGGCCAGCTCAGGCAGCCCCGGGGTTGTTACCTGGCTGGGGAGCAATTTTTTACCGAACTTTTTTAGTTAAAAATAACCTTTTAATGCAATGAAATGGGTATGTGTTCATTACAGAAGTTGGAAAAATTGACAAAACTTTTTAAGTGTGAAAAAACAAATCCATAAAAATAAGAAAAAAATCAGGGGAAAAATGTCTTACCACCCAGTGAATATCACTGTTAACACCTGTTATATATTCATCGGTGTCTTCTCCAAAATAAGATCTTACCATACCTGCTTTTTTAAACACTTTTTCAATTAACAATCCGCGTATCCTTGTCAATAAACCTCAGCTTTTGTAATACTCAGTCAACATGCAAATTTTCTCAAAAAACTTCTCAAAAAACTTCACCGACAGCAAGTTTGTCCAAATCCTGTCCCTTGCCTGGACTGGGGACTGTGCCCCTCAGTCTCCTCACAGGCCTGCCTGTTTTTAACTCCCTGACTTGTTAGGTGGGGGGGCCAGGTGCCCAGCTGGTCGGGCTGCCACCCCTGGGACGGATGAACACTTGGCGAGACCCTCTCACAGGGGCGCCCGCATCAAACACAAACGTCCCCTCCGCAGCAGAAGCCCGCGGCGCTGGGCTGAGGGAACAGGACTGGGCTCAAGGTTTGGGAAGGGAAATGTGGGTTGTGCCAGAGTACGGGGCCCCACCCAGAAATTTGGCAAAGAGTGGCCGGGAGTGGGAAGAGCAGGTGGGGAGCGGGTTCGCCCCGTGCAGCCTCCAGGAAAGGCCTGGCCCCCCACCCTTCCTGCTCCGAGCCTCCTCAGGCCACCTCTTCCCAGGCCACGTCCTCCCCTTCAACCTCTCCCAAGGCCTGCCGACCACACAGTAAGCAGGAGCTACGCCAAGTGCCTCTTGGGCAAAGGGCATTTGCAGAAGGATTTACAAATTGGCACCGCCGGAGGCCAATCTCGCAGCAAATCCAGCAATATTCTCTGTGGGGTGAGAACAAAGGCTGGGGTTCTCTTGCCTTCGAGAACAACATTCCACCGTCCACCAGTGCCAGATCCCTGGGGCTCTGAACTCCTGAACTCTCTCCCAGTGTTCTATTCAGACATCAAGTATTTAAGTCTTTCAAAAAGTAAGAAAGACCAAGGTGAGTTCTTCCCTCCCTCCCTCTGGGCCCACTCAGCCTGCAGCTCCCTGTGACCCCTGCTCCACCCCGCGGCCTCACCCCGAGCTGGCCTTTCTGCCTCGGGCCTCCCCAATCTTCCCAGCCATCTCTGCTCATCTTATCTCTGGCTCTTACACAGATATCACACCCAGGATGCCTCATGACTAAAAACTCTGCCGCCCCCCGCCCCCGCCCTTTCCCACCCTGTCCCTGTCTTCTTAGAAATTCCAGCATGTTTGTCAACTGCTCTCAGGACCCAGGGCGGGGCGCCCTGCAGAACCGAACCTCCCACACACACACTCCGCGCTCCCAGCCCCAAGTCCTTACTTGGATGTGCTGCAGAAAACAGGCGGCCCATCCAGGGAGCACGACGTGCCTGCCTTATTTCACGGGCATGTCCCTGAGTGTGGGCACCCGAGGTCTCAGACCCAGAGCCCCACTGTGGCACCCTGGGGCGGCCTCCCTGGGAAGGGGCTTCACTGTATTTGAGAGGAGAGGTTCCAGCGCTATTTCCCTGTCTCTGACCACTGGGGCCATGGCCTGACTACCCCTCCCAAGCTGGGCCAGTCCCCCGACCAGGCTGTTCGGGGGCTCAGATTGGGAAGGCGCCGTGGCCCGGGCCGTGTGGGCAGAATGTTCCCAGCTGCTCTAAAGCCCGGCAGGCGGGGCTGCGCTGCCCCTCCCGGGGGCAGCTCCCAGGAGGGGGTCAGCTCCCCTGGCACCCGCAGGCCTCAGGCCTGGTGCCAACACCGCCCAGCTTCTCGGCCTATCTCAGTGTCAAGGCTCCCCGGGGGCCGCTTGGGTGGCAGCTGGGCCTGGGCTCAAGTATGAAGACAGAGGAACTAGGAACTCCATCTCGTGGCTTGGACTCTGCACCCCCACAGCCAGCCCTCCCGGGAGCCCCATCCTGCCCACCACCCTCAAGGATTAGGTCACCCAAGAGCCCCCTAGGGTTCCCTCTGCTGCTGCGTCAGACCCAAACCCCTGGGCCGGCTCCTCCCAGTGCCCCAGCAGGCAGGGGCTGCCCAGGCCTCTGCACACCCCACTCCCTCTCTCGAAATGCTTTTCCACCCTTGAAGGGTTTACAAGTTGCATAATAGTAACCTCCCTCTGAGGGTAGGTGCAAAGATCAGTTAGTTAACGCACGGAAAAGTCTTAGAAGTGTGCCTGCATGTTGGAAACACTCGTAAGTGTGAGCTCTTGTTACGGCCTTATTTTGTCCCCCAGTCACGCCAACCAGCATGAACTCTCCCTTTTCTGGGCCCTGGCCACTCTTCAGGGTCCCCAGCCAGCAGCTCCTAAAAAGGGCCTCTGTTCCACGGACCCAAAAGTTGCTTTGACCATGATGGACACTGAGACGCGCGGGCCCCAGACAGCAGGCCTGATGGCACTGTGCTGGGCAAGGTCCCTGGGCAGGGCTCCCCCCGCCCCGCAACAATGATGCCAACACAAAGGGGAAGCCCGGTTTCATAGTCTCCGGCTTACAGAGCACAGTTCCCTCTGCTTCGCGGAGCAGACAGGGCGGAAGTCGTCATCCCCGTTTTCCAAACGGGGCCCTTGATGCGCAGAGGCGGCGAGCACTGCACCCAGGCCACACGCTGGGACGTGGCCAGGTGGGCCCAGGATCCAGCTCTGCCTGATGCCAAGCCCAGCAGTTTCTCCTCAGCACCGAGCTGGGTCACAATCAGTTAAGTGCATCTTCCTCCTTCTGAAAAGCAGCTCAGATGCCAAAGGAATTAGAGACGATGAAAACCAGACGCCCTGCCCCTTGTCTCTGGACCTGCTCCCAGGAAAGGGAGGACAACGGATACGTGGCCCCCAGGGCCCGGCCCGCCCCGTGAGCTCAGCACTTGGCAGAGGGAGTCTCACTGAGGAAGGCCTGGGAGACCCCTGGGGCCTGGGAAAGCCTCTCCCCAGACCTGGGGCCAGACTGCAGGCCCATTCAGCTCCAGGGTCAAAACAAGGAGTGACCAAGGCCAACCGTTTTGCTACTCACCCTCTCCAACCCCAACAACCCTGCCAACTCGGTGCTGTGCCCATTTTTCAGATGGGAAAAGTGAGGCTTAGGGAGATGTGACAGTGGAGATGCCTGAGGAAGGCTGGGTAACAGCCCACGGTCACAATAGTGCCTGGCTGGGCCAAAGCCACCCCGTGACCTAGGGAAACACAGCCAGCCCTGCCCACCACCTGCTTCTAACCCCAGCCAAGAGGCAGGATACACCAGGATGTCCTGTTCACTGGGTCATGGGCCCCTTTGCTGTTGGGGGAGAGGGGTCAGCTCTCAGTCATGGTGAAGGCCATCTTGGCGCAGGCCTCAGCAGGTCAGGGCCTGGGTGGGGAAGAGGAGGCTGGGCTCTGTGAGAATGTGACCGGGCAGGGAACAGGCAGAACATGTGTCCACAGCCAGGGTGCCCTAGGTCACCCGCCCAGAATTCCCCCCGGACAGTCATTTCTCCAGCCAACTCCCCATCTCAGTGTAGGAGTGCTTGTGGGGCTGAGGGCAGAGCCAGGCTCAGGCCAAGTGAGGGCGGCAGAGGCTGGCCCAGCCCGGCCTGTGTGCGAGCGTGCAGGTGCAGGTGGGGTCCCTAATGAGCCCAGTCGGAGGATCCTTCACATGCGTTCAACTAACATAACAGCCAAGACCACAAAGTCGAAATAACAATAAACTCCATCTCCACCCCACCAGTGCGAGAGCGGCTCCAGCTCTGCCCACCTCCCTTCCCCACCCACTCCCGCCTCCAAAAACCCCGGTTCTCTTCCTTCCACCAAATGCACACCCTCCCGATTCCATGCTTATTGTCCTCACTGCCCACAGTGACCCCGCTCCAGCCTGCCCTCTACCCACTTAAACACTTTTTGTGGTATCCTGTGACCCAAGTCAAACCCAAGCGCCCCTTGGTCTCTCAAGGCTCTGTGTGGACTGCCGCCCCGCCCCCGGAGGTCTTGGGCCTCATTCAGCATATAGGTGTCAGCTTCTCCCGGTGCCCTGCTGCCTCCAGCCACCAAGTTTCATTCACACTCTCCCCGCTGCACAGAGGCTCTTTCCTCTCCTCCACTAGGCAACGCCTGCTGAGCTCAGAGCCCACCCAAGGGACGCTTCCTCCAATACCCGGCCCAGGGACCCCTCTAACAGCCACGGATCCCTCCTTCATGGGAATTGTCACCATGGCAGCCAGCATCTGTCTCCCACACTAGACCCTGCTCCCCGTACCAGCGCCTGGGCCGGCACATGGCAGAGCCTTAACAGATGAGTGCTGAGTGAAAGACTGGCCTCTCCCAGCTCTGGCCTTTCTTCCCCCAGTCCTCCCCAGACCCAGCTCACAGATGCCTCCTCCAGGAATCCTTTCTGTCTTTTCCTCCTCCGAGCAGCTCAGCCCTGGGCCTCAGCCAACCACTCAGTCTCTTCCCCACATGCTCCCCTCCCACCACTCAAGCTGAGGCCTCTGGAAAGCTTGGACTTACCTCTGCCACTCATCAAACTCTGACAGCCCCTTGGAGAGGGACGCTGGTGGCCCCTGCTGTCCCCCATTTACAGAAGACAACCTTGAGGCTGAGGGAAAAAAAGCTCAAAGTTCTGCATTGTTCCAAACATCCCCGTACTGGGCCCCGTGCCGCCTGCTGAGAGGATGCTCAGCCTCAGGTTGTGGACCTTTTCACAGAGGCCCCACCCTCCAGAGGAAAGAGAGAGAGGACTTAATTACTCCAGTCAGGGTTGTATTTTAAAACGTACTTTTTAGCAACCTGGACCACAGAAAAGTATGTTAACAAAAAAAAAAATGTTAAGATGAGATTTACAGTAATTGCCTTCCAGTGGCCAAGTTCTGTCTGTCCCTTCCTAGCACATGATCTCCTTCTTCAAAATGTTCACATCTAATTCTATGGAACCAATTTTTCCTGGCAAAAATAATACAAGTTTAAAAAGAGTAGGTGCCTAGGGTGAGGGAAGAAGGGCCAGAATTAGGTTCAATCCCCCTAGCGATGGCCCAGGTTCCAGGAACAGTGAGGAGGATGTAGAGCCTGGAGTCGGTGGGCTCTGGGCTCTCTGGGCAGACGGCAGGGACCAGCGCTGCAAGCCGGGGAGGGCGGGTGGTCTCAGCGCAGGGGCTGCAGATCCCAGCTAGGGTCAGCCTTCCCAGGGTTAGAACCTTCCTCCTCCACTTGCGGCTGAGATCTCGGACAACTTCCTGAGCCTCAGTTTCGCAACCTTTGAAACGGGGACAGGAGTATCACCTACCTTGCAGGAGTGTCGTGACGCCTAAGTGAGAAAACGCATTGAACGCGGTGCGGGACAGAGAGCAGGTGGTCACTCTAGATGACACATTCTCCCTGAAGAGGTGAGAGGTGAGTCTTGGAGGTGAGAAGGATTTCCGCAGGTGGAGATGGGGCAGGACAGCTGAGTGCATCTCAGGCAACAGGGAAAATACTGAGGCCAGGCCCCAGGGCCTGAGGGCAATGACCGTCACAGAAAACACTGAGGATGTTAGTGTTTTGTACATTCTGGGGAAAGACAGATGCTAAGCAAGTAAACGCGTAAACAAGACCATTTCAGATGGTGACAACGACTCTGAAGGAAAACAAGCCAGATTCCGGAACCCAGAATGACTGGGGACGGGGGACACGGTAATCAGGGGAGGATTCTCTTTTGCGAGGATATGTGAGTTGCAATCAGGAAATAATTTGGGGAGGAGCGTCCAGGCAGAGGGAAAGCAAAACAAAGGCCCAGAGGTGGGCCTGACTCCCTGGGCCCTGCAGGAAGGCCGCGTGGCCACAGGGCACTGAAATGGGGCATGACACAAGGTGGGACTGGAGAGACAGGTGGGGACAGGTTGCACAAGGTCGTGTGGACCAGGTAAGACTTTGGATTCTGAGTGTTGTGGGAAGCCAGGAAGGGCTTACCAGGAGAAGTGGGGTGATCTGATTTATTTTAAAAGACTGCTCTGGCTGCTCTGGGGAGGATGGACCTCGGGAGGGACCTGTGGACACGTGACATGAACCCCAGGCAGATCCAGAAGCCCGAGGAAGCAGCCCCCATACTCTCCCCTCAGGCCAAGCCACCCGTCCAGCACAGGCCTCTCCGGGACGCCCGTGCCAGGCTGCTCCCGGCCGTGCCCTGCCCGACCCGCGCATCTCTGTCGGCAGCCTTTGGGGCTGAGGGATCCTTGTTCTCTGGTTATATTTCCTGGCATTCTAAATCTACCAGGGAGAGACCACCAGTGAGTTTATAGGAAAGTAAATTATAGCATCAGAGGCTGTTTTTCAGCATTTTTCCAGGCCCCAAGGGCCCACGAGGTTCAGAGCATAAACGCATTGAACTATGTTGGCTCCTAAGACACTGGGTGCACTTAGAGCTGAGCAGTAAACAGCCGGCCGAGCCGTGCTCTGCTGCTCACACCAGCGGGAAGGCTCCCGGGTCAGCTCTGTCTCTGCCCCAGCTCTCTGCCACCTGGGATGACATATGGCATCTCTCTGGGCCAGCGACCCCTTCTCCAGAGCAGAGGGTGGAGCTGGTGTTCCCTCCGGCCCTTCCGGATCCCGGAGGCAGACCCTCCCCCGAGTTCAAGCTTGAGGCAAGCCGGAGGCAGCTGCGGAGAGCCACCCTGCGATCTCTGAGGCTGGGCCTGGGCAGCCTGGCCCCTTCCCTCCTCTCTCAGCTGGAGAGACAGCAAGGACCTCACCTGGGCCTCCCCACCTTGAGGGACAGCAGCCCTGTGCCCCCCAGGCTTGAGCAGAGGAGGTTCCTCCCAAGCCATCCACTCGTGGTGGGAAGTTTTTGAAACGTTAACCTATGTTATTTCTCCTCTTATTTTCTTTCCTCTTTTGGCTCTTCCCCTGATCTGGGCGGCCCCAGGGAAGAGCTGTGACAGGGAAGGCAGAGAAAGGGGGGCTTCTCAAGGCTTCTGCAGTTCAAAAGTCTAGGCCTTCAGAGGAGTGGAGAGACCTCCAGGCACTCATCTTGTGTAAAAGCCAGGCTTTCCAGGCCAGCACCACATCCCCAGACAGAAGAGGATTCCCAGGGCAGCCGGGGAGCACAGAACGA